TATTTTATGTACAAAATGGTAGTTATAATAATAACAACTGTTGCAATGGGAAAATATTATTATTATGTTCTGTATGAATGTTCAATATACGTATAATATTATGCTACATAAATTCGAGTGAAAATCATTGTGCTAATGTGTTATTGGTGAATGTGAAATATTAAATTTGTATGTTTCATTCAAATTATCTTTTATTGATTTAGAGATGAGTGATTAAACCTTACAGACATGTGTCGGCGATATGGAACAAGAAGTTTATGATTAAAACATCTGTGCCGCATAAGTAGGTAATTAACGAACTTTCCGCGTACCTCTTTAGTCTTTACCGTCTTAACATTCTCATCACTGGTACTTGGAAGAGCTAAACTTTAGAGGCAATCAAGTTTTCCGGAAATTGTGTAATATCGCACAACGTCTCTACCCTTCATAGAGTAGATTGACAGCTATAAAAATAACTACATATTGTGAGGGGAATATAACCGACTATTTTATTTGTTCGTACGACCATCGTCCGATTTTATCACATTATTTAAACGTTTTCCCTAACCGAAGAAATTTCAAACGAAATGGTGCTCTTTAGTAATTTAATCTGGGTCAAGTAAATCACTGTGTATAGTTTAAATTTTAAACTTTAAAATATTGTATCCCTAATATTAGGTATTCATCTAATGATTATATTATTCAACACTAATACGTGATAATATTGAGATAAGATGTGATAATTGTCATGCACGAATTGTATACGGTTTTAAGAAATTAAATAAATCCACGTATTAATAAATGTACATAATTTTCGAACTATTTATAGGTAATTATATGCTAATAGTTCTAATAAGTAAAAATAAAAWAATAATTTATTTACATATACATATATTATATATAATTTTACAAAATATCAAATGCAAGTAGTAGACCACATCAAAATTACTTTTAAAATCGTTGAAGGTAAAAAATGTACTTAGTTTTCTGCAATGTTTGACTGTTAAGTGTGATTTATTACCTGAAAACCATCGTATGTCCACGATCCAAATTTCATCACACACGTTTGTTCGTCAAACGGGAAAAATTCTACATCTATTTCGCAGGAAGACTTGTAAATAGCTGGAGGTTTCCACTCAACCCGGCCACTATAGTGAAGCATAGCCTTAGTAGCTAATGTTACTTCGAAATTGCCATCAGCACTTCAAACAAATATAATATACAGAGTTAATCATATAAACATAGTTATGCATTTCTATCAATGTATAGTTGCAGAAACAATTACTTGTTGTAAAGAACAATATCTGGCCTCCAAACGTGTTCAGACGGTACGTGTAACCCTTCTACACCTCCATATTCGTCAGGATTCCACGTCAACTTATAGTCATACCAATACTTGAAAAATAAAATAAAYATTAAGTTAGACCACATAATTATACATAATAATAAAATATGTCAAGTGTAGTACATTGCATATTTAATGCAACAAAATATAGTTTGGTATATTATTTATTTATTTATTTTTAAAACATTAAACATTGTTATACAAGACCTATTTTACTAATTATACATTGGTCAGTGGTCATTGGACTCTGTATAAACTGTTAGGTATARTTTAGTTTAAGCCTATATTTAAAAAAATAATCAGCAATAAATTATCTATAGTTGATTAATATTATACTTAAAACACAGTATAATGCGAGATTGACCTTGTCGTGTCATAACTCGTTATAAAATAATGATATTTATAAGGTTCATTAAAGTAAAYTCGATGAATTGCGATTAATTTTAAAATTAGAAAATTTAAACTCACGCAGAACTTATAACTTTATAAGAAACACGTCTAAAACAGGGATTATATAGTCCTATATACACCCGAGGRCGGGTGCTTTTAAATTTAAAAACAATGATAAATCATTGCACTCGTGAAAAACTGTTTTGGGTGAAACATGGTTTAATATAATAGAGTTCATAAAAATAACTTACAAGTAGATTTTTCAAACGTACTGAATATACCTACCTACTTAAAAGTTTATAAATACTACTTCACGAAAAACCGTGTATTCGTCAAATCATATATTGACCAAAGACGGTTTTAAAATGTTATTATGATTTTAAAAAATKTATAAAAAAAAGAATCACTGTTATAAAAGAAATAAATTCAAGATCTACGTAATGATATAATTTGATTCTCTTGTTTTATTGATTTTTTTTTCGATTGATTTGCTTTAAGGTATAGTAAGATAAATTATTATTTA